AATAAATGTCTCTTCTGTGACAAGCCTCATGAAAGCCAACTTTGTGCGAAGGCAGCTTCCATGAATCTGGAGAACCGGAAAAAGGTCATGACAAAGAAGAAAGCGTGCTATGTTTGTTTGAAGACTGGCCACGGGTCACGAAGTTGCAGAGCTGTTGTAAAATGTGTCTTCTGTCAAAGGAAGCATTGTGTGTTGCTGTGCCCAGAAGTAGAGAAGACTCGATCACTACCCGAATCTACCCCGGAGCAGACGCCTACTCAAACCACGCCTGCGATGTCTAATCTGCAGTGTTCCGGAGATGTTATATTACAGACGGTGTACGTGAATTTGGAGAACAATGGCATGCGTCGGAGAATTCGACTTGTATTTGATGGCGGTTGTCACAGATCTTACTTGCTTAAGAGCACTGCAATCAAACTTGGCTTGAAAACAGTCGGAACCTTAAACATGTGTCACATTTTATTTGGATGTTCCCGTGAGGTCAGGCAACACCAAGTGTACCGAGTCAGTATTGAAAGCCTGGATGGTTCCGTCCAGACAACGTTGACGTTATTAGACCAAGAAAAAATCTGCGAATTGTTACCAAGGGCTAACAAGCACAGAGTGATTGAGGACTTCAGGGACAAGAAGATATTCGTGAATGACATTGGAGAAGGTTCACCCGAAATCGAAGTCTTGATTGGAGCCGACAACTTCGCGTCGTTGTTGACAGGGAGAAAAGTAAACTTGAGATGTGGTCTGATTGCGCTCGAGACGGCGTATGGATGGACACTGACAGAAAAGTTAGAGGAGTATGAGTCCAACAGTGCGTCGCTAATGGTGACTTCCATGATGGCGGAGAGTGACATAACTAATTTGTGGGATTTGGAGCTTATAGGCATTCGAGAACCAGATTTTCACAAACCACAAGCAGAAAGAGATGCGGAAGTACGGCAACATTTTTTGGGGACCATCAATAGGAATTCAGATGGAAGATACTGTGTTAGGCTGCCTTGGATTGATGAGTCGAAGCAGGTGCCGGACAATTTTGAAGTTGCAAAGAAGAGGCTTGATGGTACCTGGAGAAAGTTAATGAGTATGGTGGAGCAGTATGACAGGATATTCCAGGATTGGATTTTGGAGGGAATTGTTGAAGTGGTGCCAGATGAAGAACGAAACAATCGCGGGCATTATCTGCCCCATCGACCAGTAGTAAAGCCTGAAAGTCTGACAACTCCAATCCGTCCTGTATTTGACGCCTCTTGCAAAGATGGGCGTGCACCGTCGTTAAACGAATGCTTAGCTAAAGGGCCCAATTTGACTGAGCTCCTACCAACTGTATTGAATTGATTTCGTTGTGGTAATATTGGTGTCTCAGCTGACATACGAAAGGCGTTTCTGATGATCGAGGTGGCTACTGAGGACCGAGACTCCCTTCGGTTTCTATGGTGGGAGGGAGGATGTGAAGGCCATTTGATAATACTGCGACGGATTGTATTTGGCGTCAATTGTAGTCTTTTTTTGCTTGCAGCTGTAATCCAATTTCATCTGTCTAGGGTGGGTCCTGAAGACCGAAAGGTAGCAGAGAAGTTATTAAAGTCTATGTATGTAGACAACGCCTTGACAGCTGTCAAATCAGTGGAAGAGTTGAGGCGCTTCAAAAACGACGCCACCCGCTTAATGACTGAGGCAAAGATGGAACTACGACAATGGGCCTGGTCTGCCGGGGAATTAACCGGTGAAGGAATTCTGGTGACAGGGACAAACGACGTGGATCTGTCCAGCGAGTCTTATGAAAAAGAAAGAGCTCATCTGACTCCAGTGCTCGGCATGATGTGGGATCGAAGAGAAGATGAGATGTGGTTGGAGTGGAAGAATCAGGAATCTTTTGCGGTTGTCTCCAAGCGTACAATTTTGTCGGTGGTCAGTCGAGTCTACGATCCAATCGGGGTTTTGTGTCCTGTCCTTCTGAAGCCTAAGAAGATGCTGCAACGAGCGTGGTTGGCAAAGAGATCTTGGGATGAAGCTTTGGAAGAGGAATTAATTTCCGAGTTTAAGACCTGGTACGAGGAGCTATCTTACCTCTCAGCTATTCGCATCCCTCGGAACGTTACCGGAGGCAATATCGATCGTGAAAGCTGGCAGTTACATGTATTTTCTGATGCTAGTCAGGATGCTTATGCAGCGGTCGTTTATCTGCGAACCTAGGAGATTGATGGTGTTTTAGTGCAGCTGTTTCAAGCCAAAGCTAGAGTAACTCTAATCAAAAAGGTCTGTATTTATTGTTTGGAATTATTTGGGTGTGTTATCGCGGTCAGACAGGCTACAAACGTGAAGATATCTTTGGAACTCGAAGAAGTACCGACGTTTTACTGGATTGATTCCGCAACAGCCCTAGCGTGGATTCGTCGTAACGACCAGTGGGGTACGCTGGTCGGCAATCGAGTGAAAGAGATCCTGTCCTGCTCTAATGTTGAAAACTGGCGCTATGTTCCTGGGACTCTTAATCCGGCGGATCTGCCGTCACGGGGCTGTACAGCGAAACAGCTCAGGGTTTTTAGATGGTGGATGGGCCCAGCTTGGTTGAGAAATGGACCGCAGGATTGGTAGTTCGTAGAAGAGAAACCTAATAAAGAAGTGGTGGCTTCGGAGAAGAAGAAAGCTACGTCTGCATCAATGATCAACGTTCCTAAAGAGCCTATGTTCGGAGTAAGGTTGAGTACCTTTGAGAAGAATGTCCGAGCCTTAGCTTATATCCTGCGGATTGCGGCTTGGTGCAAAGCGCCAAAGAATTCCAGGCTTCGCTTAAGTGACGAACTGACGACCAAGGAGCTCAAGAAAGCGGAGCTAAGATTAATGTAGTTCAACACGAATCGTTTGAAACGATGGGAGCGAGTTTCCATGGTCTGGAGATATTACTTGGGGAAGATAAACTGGTACGAGTCAAGACTAAGCTGGTTCATCGCGACGATTCGGTGGGCCTC